GATCAGCGGGCAGGCTGATTAGGGAACTTGCTTCTGGACCAAAAACCCCCAGGGGCTGAAGGAATCTCCTGGAAACCGCACTTCAATACTGAATTCAATTTCATCTTCTTCTTAGATGAAGCATTATAAATTCTCCTTCAGCAAGTGTACTACCTGAAAGCTATAATGGGCTGGCAAACATTTTGAAAAACAGATAAACTGTCTTTAACTTTTAATCAGAACAAGATTAACGCCTACATAAATATAAGAACATGCTGAAATGTATAAAAAATTTCCAAAAGTCTATATCAATATAGGTATGAACCCTGGATTCATTAAGATCCCCTGGGTTCAAAGTGGTTTTCAATTATGGACAAAATGAATCAAAACAAAATAATTATGAAATAAGAGCAGTGAGGCCAAAGAAAAGCAAGGCCAATAGACTAGTGGAGTCAACATTCTGACCGCTATGTTGCTGCAGTAAGAGTGCAAATTTGGTTCTGAGAGTCCCAGCAAAGAGAAACACAATCTTTACAACACATATAAAATGCACAAACTAAAAAACAAACTAGCTGTCTGAAAGTCTAAGCATTCCTGGTAAAGAAACCAGAGAAAACCCTAATCAAATGGCCAAGGGACCCCAGACATTCCTCAAGTAAACCAGACCCACATGGTAAGTTGAGGCTCATGACCAGGTCACAGAGAGCCAACCCTTCCTAGGTTCAAGGCAGGGAGCAAACTTTCCAAAGCAGACATGATTAGTCCCCTGTTATGGATAAGGACACCAAGGCTTAAAGGGATTGAGCATCTTCTCATGGCCATAAAACAATCATGTTGAGCTGAGCTGGGTTTGAAACGTAGGTGTGTCCCCCATGATTAGGCCTCCATTTCTGAGAGCATCACAACCAGTGAAAGTCTATTAAACAGGGCTGGAGTGATAGCACAGTGAGTAGGGCATTTGCCTTGCACGGAACCGACCCGGGTTCGATTCCCAGCATTCCATGTGGTCCCCCAAGCACTGCCAGGAGAGTGCAAAGCCAGGAGTAACTCCTGAGTATTGCTGGGTGTGACTAAAAAAAAAAAGTCTATTAAACCATTTATGGGGGTGAGGTCCACTGGGGGAATGTAACTGAAGGATATTTTCTTTCTGGCTTCAAGGGAGGGCACCCACACCTGGGCAGTACTTGGGAGATACTCTCATCTCTGTGCTCAGGGGACCACACAGTGCTGAGGATTGATCCTGGGGATGTGCTCAGTCAGTTGAGCCATCTCTCCTGACCAGGATCTTTTCTCCTCTCATTCAACTCTGGGCTCTCAGAACCAAATTTGCACTCTTACTGCAGAAACATAGGGCTCAGAATGTTGGTTCCATCTGGTTTATTGGCCTTGCCTTCCTTTGGCCTCATTGCTCTTATTTCATAATTATTTTGTTTTAATTCATTTCATCCATAATTGAAAACCACTTTGAAACTGGAGAATCTTTTTTTTTTCATGAATTTTTTTGTAGGAGTACTGCTATTTATTCAGCCACTGATTAGCTGATTGAATTGTGCATGAACTCCACCTTATTTTTTCCCCCCATTTTTTATAATTTTATTTATTGAATCACCATGAGAACAGTTACAAAGCTTTTGGTTCTAAGTCTCAGTCATACAATGAAACACCCATACCTTCACCAGTGCCCATTCTCCACCACCAAAAATCCCAGTATGCCCCCCATCCCACACCCTCCCCCTGCCTGTGGGGCAGATGATTTCTACATTACTCTCTCTCTACTTTGATCACATTCATTATTTTGACACCAGACCCACCATTATTTGAGATTTTACCCCAACACTCAGATCTGCTGAAAAGGCAACAATAGACAATTTGTGTTCTATTGCTGGTTATGAATAACATATGATGTCGTGTGGCTGCTGTAGGGCCATGTGGTTTTGAAATTCTGAAATTTTAACACTTAAATCTGGAGGGATTTCTGCCAAAAGCCACTGGGTTTAGAGATCTGCTCCTGAGTCTCTGGGATCATGGCCATTGAGCAGCTTGATGAGGAGCCAGAGAGGCCACTCATGGGCGATGACTTGGGGTCTCGTTGGGGTGGGGAGGACAGGCCCAGCTCCCCACACCCAATCCCGTGAGGTCCAACAAGTTTCGTCACTGCGGGCCCAAGCCTGACTGTCCAATGGCCTCTGGAGGATGACAGCCACCAAGTCGCCAAGAGGGAGCAGGTGGAGGGACAGCACCCATTCCCCCCTGGGGTGGCCCAGCGACAGTAACCTACTGCGGGGTCCGGACACATTTCTGCCAAAAGCTGCTGGGTTTCAAGATTTGTTTCTGAGTCTCTGGGATCAAGGCCGTTGAGCAGCTTGATGAGGAGCCAGAGAGGCCGCTCGTGGGCGATGACTTGGGGTCTCGTTGGGGTGGGGAGGACAGGCCCGGCTCCACCCTCCCCCCCCCACATCCCGTGAGGCCCAACAAGTTTCGTCACTGCGGGCCCAAGTCTGACTGTCCAATGGCCTCTGGAGGATGACAACCACCAAGTCGCCAAGAGGGAGCAGGCGGAGGGACAACATCCTTTCCTCCCTGGGGTGGCCCAGCAACAGTAACGTACTGTGGAGTCCAGATGCATTTCTGCCAAAAGCCACTGGGTTTTGAGATTTGTTTCTGAGTCTCTGGGATCATGGCCGCTAAGCAGCTTGATCAGGAGCCAGAGAGGCCATTTGTGGGCGATGACTTGGGGTCTCGTTGGGGTGGGGAGGACAAGCCCGGCTCCGCACCCATCCCGTGATGCCCTGTGTGTCTCGTCACTGGGGGCCCAAATGTGACTATCCAGTGGCCTCAGACAGATGGTGGCCACTGGGCCGCCAGGGGGCACAGGCCAAGGCACGAAACCTATTCCCACCTGGGTTGACCCAGCACCAGTAGCCTACTGCAGAGACCAGACACATTTCTACCTAAAGCCACTGGGTTCTGAGATTCGTTTCTGAGTCTCTGGGATCATGTCCATTAAGCAGTTCAATCAGGAACCAAGGAGGCCTTGCCTCCAATTATATAGCTGAGCCGGAGGTGGTTTGTGGGTGTGTTTCCCACATACCTAACTTTTGGCTGTTTACTTTCTTGGTAAACTTTGCCCCAAGTTTTTGGGGTCTGGCCAAAGGCACAGCAGCAATTTTGGGGTATCTGGAAGTCTGAAGGTGCCATGAGGCTGCTGATGCACTTGCCTCACAGGTACAGATTGACCTGCTGGCGGCACCATACCCCCATTCATGAATTTTTTTTAAAGGTAAAGGTAAAGGCCCTCCCGTTGATCGTCGATTTGCTCGAGCAGGCCCAGTAACGTCTCCATTGGAGACTTTGTTGTTACTGTGTCTGGCATATCGAATACTCTCGGTAGCTTGCTGGGCTCTCCGAGAGGGGCAGAGGAATCGAACTCGGGTCGGCCATGTTGGCCGCTTGTAAGGCGAACACCCTACCGCTGTGCTATGTCATTTTATTTTTGTTTAATATCTACTTTTTTTTTTAGATTTTTATTAGTGAAACACCATGAGGTACAATTGTAGATTTACAATTTTTTGTGCTTGGGTTTCAGTTATACAATGATCGAGTACCCATCCCGCCACCAGTGCCCATTCTCCACCACCACTGATCCCAGTATCTCTCCCACCCTCCGTCCCCCTCATCCCTCCCTTCCTCTGTGGCAGAGCATTCCCCTTTGTTCTCTCTTTCCTTTTGGGTGCTGTGGTTTGCAAAAGAAGTATTGAGTGGCAATCATGTTCGGTCTAGAATCTACTCTCAGCAGGCATCTCCCATCCTGGGAGGAACTTCCCAACACCCTTTATTTGGTCCTCCCTTCTCTTATCTGAGCTGCCTTTTCCCCTAGCGTGTGCGGCTAGCCTCCAAGCCATGGAGTAAACCTCCTGGTACTTATCTCTGCTATTCTTGGGTGTTATAGTCTCCTATTTTGTTATTTTATGTTCCCCAGATGAATGCAATCTTTCTCTGTCTGTCCCTCTCTTTCTGACTCATTTCACTTAGCATGATACTTTCCATGTAGTACCACTTGTATGTAAATTTCATGACTTCATCTTTTCTAACAGCTACATAGTACTCCATTGTGTAGATGTACCGAAGTTTCTTTAACCAGTCATCTGTTCTTGGGCATTCAGGAAACTGGAGAATCTTAAATGCAGAGTTAATACCTATATTGAATTAGACTTTTGGAAATTCTTTATAAATTTCAACATGTTCTTATACTTATGTGGATGCTGTTTTAAGAAGAAACAGTGCCTAAGTATTAACTAAGCTACTGACCTGGATAAAAGACCTGTCAGAATTGTTGGTTCCTTGCAGTTCAATTGTCTACAATTTTAGGGAAAGGCATTTTAAACTAGTGTGTTTCTGCTACTTGAGGTTGACTTTGGATGATTTTATTTTTCCCTTTTACTTTTTCCTCTCCTTATTACCTATGCTCTGATTATTCTCATTCTTTTAGTTAATTTCCTCGTGCAGTTCCAATGTTTTAAAGCAATTAGTATTTTGGCATCTATCTGTAGTTTCTAGAAGGAGAAGCACATGCACTGAAGGAGTGTTCCATGGCCACAGGTGTCTCAGACGATCATGGGTACGGCAAGGCCACGCCTTGTGTCATATGACACAAAACAAACCAGTGAGCACGAGAATCCCAGTTCCCTAATTTACATTTTTATAAATGTGCCTTTGTAAGAAATGAGTCAGGCCTAGGAGCTCAAGAAATAAAGGTTAAGCCTTGCAGAGAATCAGGCTGAGCTCTAATAAAAACTGAGAGCATGTTACAGAGTTCTAATAGCTTGTGGCCACTGATCCTTACTGCAAAACATTTTTCAGACTACAATGAGGAGATTTCCTAAATTTTTTTTGGAAGACTGACATAGATGATAGAACAAGAGTCACCCTACCTTGTAAACAGCAAGGAAAACTGCAGGTGTTTGAGGAGAGGGGACGCTGGGCTAATGTGTCAGAATAGCAGAGACAGAATTGGTACTCACTCCGAGGACAGCAGCTGGGTAGGGAACATCAGATGGGAATGTGAACGAAGAGCCGGTTGTCACTGGGCTGCTTGGGGGTGGGGTCACGATTAACCCGGTGGTACTAATGTGAACCTGCCCCCAAAAAAAGAGTAATCAAAAGAAGACCACATTTAATACAACAGATTATATCAGCTATACCTTGGAAAGGCAAGTCACGTTTTTTTTTTCCAATCTAAAATTTCGATTAGTAAGAGAAAACAGAATTGCTTTCTGCTTTCAACCCAAATGTACTGATTACCTAATCTGTATTATACACTGGGGTGTCTGCTATAGTGTGAGTTTTGTTTTGTTTTGTGTTTTAAAGAGGTAAGAGTTTGGGCCACACCCACTGGTGCTCCAGACGTAAGGAGTAATCCTGGTTCTGTGCTCAGGGATCACTCCTGGCAGTGTGCAGGGAACCATATGTGGTGTCAGGATCGAACCTGGGGTCTGCTGAATACAAGGCAAGCACCTTACCTGCAGTACAATCTCTCACTAGCAAGCCCCACTGCATTGTTTATTTACATATAGAATTCAACTGCTGTTGGCTTTCCCATCATTATGCTGGCCCAATGGGGAAGCTACTGTGAACTAAAGTGATCTTCTCAATCTGCAGCTCAACCAACCCATCACCAAAGTCTCGGAAGATCCTGTTAAAGTAGGTTGTGACTGAATACTCACCTGTCTGTCAGTGTGTGGTTATCTATGTAAACTGTTGGAAGTATTTTGCTATTTTTAGGGTAATTTTTCACAATTCCTGCCTTTCAGTGGGGACACAAAATTAAAATGCAGCTGCTGAAACATGCCCATAGCAGGTAATTATTTATAAAACCTTTAAAGGAACAATGTCAAGGCAAATTAGCTGTTTTCAAAGGTGTCTTTTAGAGGACACTAGCCAAGATTAATTTACTAGAAAGAAATAGAGTCAGTTCATTTCGCTGCCTGCATTCAGTTACTCAATCAGTTTCACTCAATTGTCCATCCTGTCCAAATGCAGATTGCAGCTTTGTTAGTGATGCTGCAGAAATCGAGGTGGGAGAGCATGGCATGCCCCTTCAAAGCATGTGGCTGCATGGTGCCTTATTTTCCCAAAGGAACAATGGCATATCAGAAATGCTAGGCTTTCTGTAATGAAAACATAATTCCAAACACAGTTTCCTCAGTTCCCACAAGAAAAAGATTATTAGAACCAAAAAGAACCCCCTCAAAACAAACAAAAAACCAACCAAACAAAAAAAAATCCAAAAAACAATAATAACAACAACAACCACAAAAAACAAAAAACATAAAACAAGAAAAACCCTACCTGGTCAATGATTAAGTCCCTGAAAGCCTCATGAACTTTCGGTTTCTCACTGGGTAAGGTCCTGCCAAGATCAGGGAAAACCAGAACCGTGGCCAACGATTTACTCACACAAATAAAACTGTACACAGGGAGTCCACATCCCTTGACATCACGTCTGTACCTGTTGGCTCCTATATTGACTGAATCGACAGGCCGACCCGAAGCAGAGCCCAGGGCATTACTAACAAGCATTCTCCGTAAACCCTCCTTTTCTGCTCTCCTATGAACCACAGTGTAGTTCTAATCAATGTCTAATAAACAGCATGCTGGTTCTTCTTTCCAAGATAAAACCCAATGGCCTTTAGCTAGTTCCTGCAATAGATCTGTTTACATATACACTCCAAGGACATCTGCAAATTGGCACCCTATGGTCTTCTTTCTTAGATAAAATGCTTACTTCAAAGTGCACACCACTGTGAAGGAAAGTTTTGGGGAAAAAACAAAATGAAATAAAAAAGCAAATGACTCCCACTACTAAAATGCAGTCCCTGTGTTGCCAGGAACTAAGCAGAGAGCTAGCTCAGTTCCCATCTGAGATTCTGAATCATTAGCCGTAAATGACTCATAGCTGTGGATCATGAGTGCTCATCCCCAAACTCTGTGAGGGGCTGGCCCATGGGATCTTGTCAGCCCAGTCAGAAAAAGATAATCAGGACCTAAAAAGAATCCTCCTAACCCAAAAACCAGCATGGATGTGGAAAGCCCTTTACCAGGAAAATCCTGAGGGCACAGCTAGCCACAAGGTGGGCACTCTGAACAAAGAATAAAGAATGAGAGAGAAGTCACTATAGAAAGTGACAAGCAGCAGCCACCAAGTGGCCAAGGACACTTAGTCCAGGACCTGTTCCCGGATGACCTGTCTTCCTGCTGAACGCCCCTTTCTTGTGAAAATGCCTAATCTCCTCCACTAAAAGGACTGAGGAAAGGGAAAGAGTTGGGGGAAAGCAGAATGGGGGAAGAAAACAGGTGGATCTTCAATGCAAAAATGCCACAAGAACATTTAATATCATGAATCATCCCTCCAGCTGGCAGAGGCCGAGAAATATCCTGGGTGCGGCTAGAGGAGCAGACAAATTGACTTGGTTGCTTGTCTCATCATGCACTTGTGAAGATATCAATCAGACAGCTGTGCACATCTGTTCTGGGGAACCACCTGCACTGCGCAACCTATAATTACTCTTCCAACTTAGGTATCTGAAAGCCTTCACTCAACAGTTCCCCAACACAATGGCAGGCGAGTGCCTTCCCCCTTCCATCCATATCCCACCCTGATTGGAGGCTCTGGACAAGATCACCTGGGGCTAAGGAGCTTGTGGGACTGTGGGCTGGCACATAAGCACCAAACTGTTAGAGTTAAACATCATGTAGGGAAGAGAAAAAGAAGCACTCAGTTCTTTAATTTTTCTCCTTTAAGAAATTTTTTTGGTTTTGGGGTGATAGCTGGCAGTGCTCAAGGCTTACTCCAGCTCTGCACTCAGGCAGGGGTTACTCCTAGTGAGGCTTAGTGGACCATATGGAGTGCCGGGATTGAACCCGGGTTGGTGGCATGCAAAGCAAGTACTCTAGTTGCTGTGTTATCTCTCTCATTCCTTTATTTTTCCCCCAATAAATGCCACCAGAGCTACTAAAGAAAAGGACAGAAATGGAACCAATAGCAAGGGACAACAGCCAAACTTATTGGGGTAAACAAATTATTAATTATTAATGGGTCTTTTACTGTGCAAAGAAATGACGAGCACTCTCATTTTTTCTCTTCTGTTTTGGGGGAATATACAGTGATGCTTGGTGGACCATACAGAGTGACAAGGATAGAGCAACACAATCGTTTTACCTCTCTATACTCTCTCTAGTCCCAAGAGCCCAGTTTTTAAAAATCCCCATGTGAGCCAATCACCAGAGTAAGAGGCACTAGTTCCTCACAACTTTAAAAATGTCATACAGGCTACGCATGCTCACAACTTTACTGCTGTCTGTGGGTATGTCTGTATAGTCATACAGGCTACGCATGCTCACAACTTTACTGCTGTCTGTGGGTATGTCTGTATAGTCATACAGGCTACGCATGCTCACAACTTTACTGCTGTCTGTGGGTATGTCTGTATAGTCATACAGGCTACGCATGCTCACAACTTTACTGCTGTCTGTGGATCCTCTCTATAAAGTACAAGCAGTACTTTCTATAAATCTGGACCACACTTCAAATATCTCCCATCCTCTGAGAAATGACATCTCCCTAAGGCACCAGTACCACCGAACACAGAATAAACTGGAAACGGGGCGCAGGTGATGGGTGAAGGAGAAGCTGTTTAAATCGAACACAGACAGAAAGAGCCTCGTTTCCTAAGCTCCTCAAACCCAAATAAAAATAGCTCTGCATGTATAGTCTTTGTTCCCAGCCTCAGACATGCTCACACCTGACGGGCAGACTTCTCCACACAAGGTCTAAACAGCACACAGCTCTTCCTTGCTCTCTGCACATTCTCTTCTGCCAACAGATGACCCACCCTTCTTTTAAAAGCTATCCCCACTCCAAGTTTCCACAACCCCTAGCACATCTTTACATTTTAAGAAAACATTATCAGACAACACTGCTGGGTAATAAAATAAACCCTTCAGTCAACAGACTCTCTCCTCTCAGTGAATGGCATCTCTGGTTAATAATAGGCCCAACCTTATTTTAAAAAAAGTCTTTGGTTTTGAATATTCCCAGAGCAACCCTTCTTGGTACTTGTTATTCTATAGTTGATGTCTATTTTTCACAGGGGTCTAGTTATAGCCTGTACATGGACAAGGATCTCCTCTCTGCCAATTTTCAAGTAGTTCATTCAATTAACAACTCTTTATTGAGTTCTGACTCTTTGTCTCCCGTTAGGAATATCCTAATGAATAAACACCCTCTTCCCCTTAACACACTCATTTCCTTCTTAAGATCAAAAGTCTTCATGGTCCTATCACCCGCCCTAAAACGGCAACAAACCATAATCACATTCAGAAAATGGATTCATTTAACTCACAAAATGCAGTATAAATCTAAGAAGTTTTAAATAAATAATGCTAAGAGAATAATTTTGAATAATTTTAGCAAGGAATATTAAAAACTGAAAATTGTAAAGTTTTATTGTGTAATCCCAAACAGGCATATCTTTTTGTTTTGGGGCCACACCTAGTGGGGCACAGGGCTTGCTCCTGCTCTGCACTCAGGTCACTCCTGGTGGGGCCTGGGAACCAGATGGGGTGCCGGGGATCGAACACAGATTGGCAGCATGCAGGGCAAGCGCCCTACCTGCAATGCCATATCTCCCCAGCTCCCAACAGAGACATTTCTTAAACTACAAACTTTTGGTGATCATATGTACATTTTTTATCCTGAAAATAATTGTGTTTTATTCTATACCAAAAAAAAAACCCCAAAGTTATCTGAACTGGAGTGATAGCTCAGCAAGTAGGCACTTGTCTAACAAACAAGCGACTGACTCAAATTCAGTTCCAGGATTCCAGAATCCCCTATACCCAATCAGGAGTAAACCCTGAGCACAGTTGGATGTGGCTGAAAAACAAAACAAAACAAAACAAGTTATCCCAGACAGCAGAAAGTAAAATATGCATGGATATAAAATATGAGACAAAAAATTGGTAGAGATTTCTTCTGCTGCTGTAGGGTGTCAAATGAGATTCTGAGGGCATTAAGATCTTATGCAATGGGGTCATTTCAGCAGTCCCAGGACTGAGGCGGGGAACGAGGAGCCCTGTTTGCTGTCCAGTGTCAAAGACTGTGGTAAGGAAATTCCTCATGTTATTTATTTTAGTATAGAAGTGCTTAGAGGGTCGAATAACAAGGCACTCAGCATTAAAGGATTCAAAGACTGTTTCCAAACATCATCTCCATTTTTATTAACGCAAGAACATGTACATATTTTTAAAGACATTTTTAAAGTTGTGAGGAACTAGTGACCTTTCAAAAGGAGCCTGGCCGATTTCTTACTTACAAGTTTCTTCCTGTCATCTCTCTTCTTTCTCTTCTTCTGCCCAGGAAAGCCTAATTTCTGGGAGAGTTACAGAGACAGCAATTCTAAGACTGCTCAGGTCTGACCCACAGCCACTTCAGTCTGGATGGAGACCAAACTTTTGGAAAGAATTTCTCCCAAACAGCTTTGTAAAATGTGGCTTGGTAAAACTGAGCAATGGCTTAAAAAAAATGGAGGATAACATTTATTAAATCCTCTGTTGTTCCCTTTGAAAGAGCAGTTTTGATTATACTTGCTACACTCTACTTATCACTTCCACCGCAGAGAAAGGCAGGGTAGCTGAATAGACTACTACCTTTGGGAGTTAAAAAGAAACCCTCTTTCCAGTCTGAAAACTGGCAGGTTTCTGTGCACACCCCTTCCGTTCTCCAGGCCAGGCTTACCTGAGAGGGGGCACTGCAGGAGAGGCCAGACAGCTCACTGATGCGCGCGGCAGCCGTGGGGTTGCTGGAACTGATAAGGACAGGCGGGCTGATCTCCATGGAGTGGCGGTTCTGGGAGGCCTGCGAGGACTTGCTGGCCATAGTGAGGGACGTGAAGGAGTGACGCTTTTTGGTGTTCTTCTTGGTGTCGGAGTGCTTCGGGGCGGAGGTGCTCGGGGTGGCCGTGGAGCTGCCTTCTCCGGCCTCAGCGCCCGGTGCAGGGGGTTTATCCCATTCGATCAGTTGCTTGGCCGCTGAGTTGAACTGCAGACAGACAACCCACACAAGAGGATCAGCTGGCTCGAGGACGCGCCGGGATTTAGGTTTAACTCACCTTTTAGAAAATCGAGCGTGGCTGCTGGCAAGTTTGCCTGCGCCCGTTTGTGTTGTTTTTCCCTGAGAGGTGTCTGGTCTCAATAGTGGGATTTCACTGCATCTATCCTAGACAGATGTTAAAACAAGAATCGATGACTCTAAGGGAAGACTGACATGGCAAAAAAATATTTTTCCCCGAAGACACTTCAGAATGTCTCATTTCTTTTTTTCTTTTTCAATCTGCATTTGCGGCCGCGCGACATCTTATCAGAACTTTTCTTTATGACATCTTATTATCTCATTCCTACTTTGGACAAACTTGCAGGCTATCGAATGTAGCCTGCCCACAGGGCAGAGTCTGGCAAACTCCCCGTGGCGTACCAAATATGCCAAATACCAGTAACAATGATGGGTCTCATTCTCCTAAAGAGCCGTGAATATAATCTCAGGGCTAGGATGAAAGAGACGTTACTGGCGCCTGCTCGAGGCAATCGACGATTAACAGGATGATGAAATGAAATGAAATGAAATCTGCAGAAACAAAGGTTTATTTAGGCTCACCAAGGGGCTTAGAGAAAAGCAACTGAAAAAGGGCACAGGTGCCTGAGTGACTGCCGTGGCCCTGTGAGGCTGGCGCTTTGCTCAGAACACAAAATAATAATGAAAAGGCAACTTAGGGGGCTCGGTAAAAATGAGAAGACAAAGAATGAAGCCATGAAATATTAACTTATACATCTATACAAATTAACCTTTTGCCTCAATGGATTTCTGAGAAACCTGACAAAATCTTAGTAAAAACTCTTAATAAATTTTTTTTGGTCACACCTTACACAGCAGTTAGTTTCTTACATGCTTGCTTTTTAATCATGACAGGGAAGGACATGAAACTCCAGTCCTGTTGGTATGTTAGCCTGCCAATTAGGAAAGTTATCCGAGTGTAACACAGTACAGAACGGGTCAAAAAGCTGAGCACCAAGCTGAGAACACCAACAAGAAGGCAAAGAACATAACATTTTGCTTTCCCTGAGGTAAGATGAAATGTTTCTGGAGAATGTCAACATAACAAGATCCACAGAACCTACCCACATACTAACAATAACGGAAAATCATCGGGCACATAGTTAAGCCTCTCAAAACAAAACAAAACAAAAACAACTAAGATGAAAAACAGTGGGGGCAGAGACACAGGACAGAAGGTTAGGCCTTGCATGGGGGGGGGCGGGGGGACCTGGGTTCAATTCCTACTGCCACCAAGAGTGAGTGGAGTCCTAGCAGTAGCGGGTATGCCCCAACTCCCACCGCCAAAGATGTCATATATTTCACAAATGGGGCTGGAGTGATAGTACAATGGGGAGGGCATTTGCTTTGCACACAGCCAACCAGGGTTGAGTATCCAGCATCCATGTGGTTCCTGGGCACAGCCAGGCGTTATTCCTGAATGCAGAACCAGGAGTAACTCCTGAGCAATGCCCGGGTCACTGTCCTCCCATTGTTCATCGATTTGCTCGAGTGGGCCCAGTAACGTCTCCATCGTGAGACTCGTTGTTACTGTGTTTGGCATATTGAATACATCAAGGGTAGCTTGCCAGGCTTTGCTTTGAGAGCAAGATACTCTCGGTAGCTTGCCGGGCTCTCCGAGAGGGGCAAAGGAATCGAACTCGGGTCAGCCATGTTGGCTGCATGCAAGGCAAATGCCCTACCTGCTGTGCTATCACTCCAGCCCATAATGCCCGGGTGTGACCCAAAAAGAAAAAAAAAACGGATAAAATAGTATCACCCAATGCAATTTCCAACCCACCTAATGAGAAGGACGGTGTTTTTTTTCACTCTATCAATAACACTCCACCAGAAGAATGGAAATCCCGTCAGTCAATATTTAACAGAGTGAACTTGTTCAAGTTCTGCTCACTGTACTGTATTAACTGGAGCTTAGCTCCCAGTGCACCTATAGATGATTGCAAATTGATTAACAATTTGTTCCCATGGCTCCCAAGAGACTTGAATTCCTCTGGCCTGCCTGATCTATAATTAGTAAGGTACATCTTTCTCAACCCTGAGCATGCCTCCTTCAGACTTTAAGGAGTTTTTCCACATGATAGACTTTTAAGAATAACAGCCAGGAAAGCCACATGACAGCCACAATCACCGCCTGAAGGACCAAAGGTGGGGGACAGAGTATCATTGGGAGACCATGCTCTGTGTTCACACATATGTGTTACATGAAAATGAAGAAATGAAACAATATTAACAGGGGGGTCTTGGGATAGTGCTATGCTGCCATTTGATCACAAAGCCAGCTTGCTCTAGCAATCCACCTCTGGGCCCAAGAGAGGCAGGTACCCAAAGGATGCTCTGAAATGCTTCCTTATTAAGGCAGAAGTGGCGCCAAGCTCAGTGCTCTACTAAGGAACAGTAGAGTTTCACCATTTCACCAGAGTAAAGAAGGGACACAGAGAATGCTTCCTGAACGTAGACAGGAGCTTATGATCATTTAGACACTAAGGCACAAGTATGACCTAATCAGCACTGTGAAATCAGACTGATCAACTTTGAGCTCCTACTGTCCTGAGTAAATGAAGGGGAGGGCGATGGGAAGACTTTCTCCCACAGAGACAAAAGTTGTAAAGAAAGAAAACTGTCATATCTACACACTCTAAAAGTCCATTCAAACCATGGACTGTTAACAGTATCTGCTTTGAAATAGTCTGAATTACCTTAGCCATGAACATACTTAACTTTGTATTAGTAATAGCCGATAGTATATTGATTTTTCGATTTTGTGCTCTGGTATAAATATCTAAAATTAAAGCATCATTTTTATAGTATTTTTTCTGTTGTTTTTCTCATTAAAAAAACACCAGGTTTTTCCTTTGGGTTTTCATAGCATATACCTTCTGCTAAATATGCATTGAGCCCCTGTTACATGTTGAATAACATAATAGAGTCTGGAATTCTATAAAAGTAGAATACTGATTTCTAACATTCAGGAGCATAAGAGCAGACACATAAACAATACAAAACATATGACTACTTTTCACTCAAAAATATATTTTTCAAGTTTTTACCACGTTGTTCTAGGAATCAGTAGCTCTTTTCTTTTCATTAATGTTTTCCATTATGAGAATGTGTCACACTTTATTCATCACATTGATTTTCTTTCTCCTTTCCCTCTTCTTATAGATTCTGACCATTAAGAACAATGCTACATGAATTATCTTGTCTGTCTTTTGGTAGATATATGCACAAATCAAGAAATAAGGCCAGGCCTAGGAGGGGAGTTTCTGGGCCACAGGGTTGCCATGTTTAGAAATGTCTATATACACCAAAGGAAGTAAATGAGGGAGTCCCATCACGAGTCTGGAAGCTAAAAACTGAATTCTGAAGACAAACACAACCATTAACTAACCTTATGATCTTTAAGAAATTATTTCACCTCTCTTGATGACAACTTACTCATCTATAAAATGAGGGTTTTTTTTTAAATCTCTTTTGGCTCTTCTGCATGAATAGTGCTTGACCCTATTCTGAGCAAGTATAATTTCATTTTTCTATTTCATGTCTACACCTCTCAATAATATGCATTTGCTGCATCTCATTTTTACATGTGGCCAGCAATACTTGTTAGTATATTGTCATACTTTAGAATTATTTTCAATTTCTGAAACACATGCACTGCCCTTATATGTTACAAGATACAAAAAAAGTTGAAGATTACTTGGTGGCAACAATATGTAAATCAGGTAGAAATTTTAAAAGCTTTTCTTGGAAATATAACTTAACCTTCAGTAACAAGAGGAAAGAAAGGATTTGACAGCTTTTAATGGAATTTTGATAAAAATGCATTTATGGATGTTTGAGCTCATGGTGTAGGCTTTCCATGGCATTTATCTAGTCATGACCTTAAGTTTAGGAGACACTCATCACCTGCAAAATAAATTTGTATCCTAAAATACCTTCTTCTAAGCACCTGGTAAGAAACACTTGATAATAACTAGGCTGTAAGCTACATGAAATTCAATCCCACAGAACAGGGACTAATGGATTTGTTGTTCTGAAAACTCTAATATCCCTTTTGGAAAAATCCACAACTTCAAATTAATCTGAGAATTATCAGAAGCATTGTGAAATAAATGAAATGCAATACTGACAGAATAATAATGATTAACAAAGCAACAAGAAATATCATGATAGGGGCTGGGAAGATAGTACAGCAGGCAGGGTGCTTTTCTTGCATGCAATCAACCCTGTGTGGTCCCCTGCCTCACCAGGAGTGATCCCTGAGCATAGTACCAGGAATAAGTCCTAAGCATAGCCATATGTGTGTAGTAAATATGATGTAGTATATACAGATGCTGATTTTTAAGTATGTGCTCCTGAAGTTTATATAGTATTATAAAATAACCCTTTGTCAGTTGATAATACAGCAAAATTAACTGCTGATGGGTGTGGTATTAGAATTGCATGCATGGGAAATCAATAACAATACTGTAAATCTCAGAACCTTAGTCAATAATAAATCAATATAATAAAAACATGGCAAAATTTTTGTACAGATGCCATTGTTGTGAAATAAATATCAGAAAAAATCATGAGAAATTCTCTTTTCTTAAGAAAAAAATGACTAAAGAGAACTAAGTTATCTAACCTTATCTGATATTTTTCATATAATTTACCTCTCTATTTTTTGAGCAACAGAGAATACAAATAGTAGGTGTGAGGAGAGAAACCTATTCTAATTCACAATCCACTCCAGTAACCCTGAATGCAATAGTTTTTCAATCAAAGGTGACTGAAAGCTTTTAATTTTCTTAATTGAGGTAATGGTTTCCAACACTCTCTGCTTTTAAGGGCAAAATTTCACACCTCTCAATTAAAGACTTTTCAAATCTTATTATGAAAGTGATGTATGTGTTATTTAAAAAGGAACCAGTATGGAATTTTGAAATAAA